GATCAAACAGATCAAAAGACAGCAACGAGATGTATTCACACTGAAGGTAATCTTCTACCACAAAGTAGGGGAAATTGTCAGTGTGTGAAAGCAAAATGTTTTGCAACAGAAGTGTTAATCTGCATTGATATTATATAACTTCAGGGGAAATGTCTGAAATATGTATTTACCCTACTGTAAATCATATTATGTTTTTGTTTTTTATCCAGCTTTACCATTACCAAGAGATGTGGAAATTACTGATGTCAGTGATGAAGGTGCTTCCATATCGTGGGTAATTCCAGAAGAAGATGGAGATCTAATTGGCAGTGTCATTGTACATTACAAGCCAGATGGTTCCAATGAATGGCAGAATGTGACTGTGGCATCATCAGACAACTCAGTTGATTTGATTAATCTGAAACCAAATACAACATATACAATACAGGTCGCAGTTACTAGTACTGATGGTCAACATTCAAAATCGACAACACCTACCAGTTTCACTACATTAGCAGGTAGGTGATCAATTGTAGAAACTCTTGCAATTAGCATTATGCATGGCATCATCGGAGATGCACCATGCACCAGTGTTAACTTACATTTTTTATGTAAATGATTATCTTTAGATATTCTCATTTCATTTCTCTACTAGACCTCCTGCTCCCGTATAACATAAGCATCATCAACATTGGAACAAGAGAAGCAACAGTTACATGGTTGCTTGATCTAAACTCTGATATATCAGGCTCAGTAGTGCAATATAAACCTACCAATAGTATGCAAGACTGGAGGAATACATCATTCTTACCAGCATCTCTAAATATGTTCACTTTCACCAACCTGTCTGTTAATGTGGAATATACCGTTCGTCTACTTTCTGTCTCTGCCGACCAAACAAGATCAAAAGGCAGCAACGAGATTGTATTCACCACTGAAGGTAATCTTTTGTGCAAAAGTAAGAGAAATTGCCAGCGTGTAAAAATAAACTGTTGTGCAAGAGAAGTGCTAATGTGCATTGATATTATATAACTTCAGAGAAAATATGGAAATATGCATTTACCCTACTGTAAATCATATTATGTTTTTGTTTTTTATCCAGCTTTACCATTACCAAGAGATGTGGAAATTACTGATGTCAGTGATGAAGGTGCTTCCATATCGTGGGTAATTCCAGAAGAAGACGGAGATCTAATTGGCAGTGTCATTGTACATTACAAGTCAGATGGTTCCAATGAATGGCAGAATGTGACTGTGGCATCATCAGACAACTCAGTTGATTTGATTAATCTGAAACCAAATACAACATATACAATACAGGTCGGAGTTACTAGTACTGATGGTCAACATTCAAAATCGACAACACCTACCAGTTTCACTACATTAGCAGGTAGGTGATCAATTGTAGAAACTCTTGCAATTAGCGAATACTGTTGCACCATGAATAGTTACACTAAACACTTTTTCAATGTAAATATAAGAACCAAAATACTGTTATAGTAAAATTACATTTGTTCTTGCAATTATGCATGGCATCATCAGAGATGCACCATGCACCACTGTTAACTTACATTTTTGATGTAAAAGATTATATTTAGATATTCTCATTTCATATCTCTACTAGATCTCCTGCTCCCGTATAACATAAGCATCATCAACATTGGAACAAGAGAGGCAACAGTTACATGGTTGCTTGATCTAAACTCTGATATATCAGGCTCAGTAGTGCAATATAAACCTACCAATAGTATGCAAGACTGGAGGAATACATCATTCTTACCAACATCTCTAAATATGTTCACTCTCACCAACCTGTCTGTTAATGTGGAATATACCGTTCGTCTACTTTCTGTCACTGCGGATCAAACAAGATCAAAAGACAGCAACGAGATTGTATTCACCACTGAAGGTAATCTTCTACCACAAAGTAGGGGAAATTGTCAGTGTGTGAAAGCAAAATGTTTTGCAACAGAAGTGTTAATCTGCATTGATATTATATAACTTCAGGGGAAATGTTTGAAATATGTATTTACCCTACTGTAAATCATATTATGTTTTTGTTTTTTATCCAGCTTTACCATTACCAAGAGATGTGGAAATTACTGATGTCAGTGATGAAGGTGCTTCCATATCGTGGGTAATTCCAGAAGAAGACGGAGATCTAATTGGCAGTGTCATTGTACATTACAAGCCAGATGGTTCCAATGAATGGCAGAATGTGACTGTGGCATCATCAGACAACTCAGTTGATTTGATTAATCTGAAACCAAATACAACATATACAATACAGGTCGCAGTTACTAGTACTGATGGTCAACATTCAAAATCGACAACACCTACCAGTTTCACTACATTAGCAGGTAGGTGATCAATTGTAGAAACTCTTGCAATTAGCGAATACTGTTGCACCATGAATAGTTACACTAAACACTTTTTCAATGTAAATATAAGAACCAAAATACTGTTATAGTAAAATTACATTTGTTCTTGCAATTATGCATGGCATCATCGGAGATGCACCATGCACCAGTGTTAACTTACATTTTTTATGTAAATGATTATCTTTAGATATTCTCATTTCATTTCTCTACTAGACCTCCTGCTCCCGTATAACATAAGCATCATCAACATTGGAACAAGAGAAGCAACAGTTACATGGTTGCTTGATCTAAACTCTGATATATCAGGCTCAGTAGTGCAATATAAACCTACCAATAGTATGCAAGACTGGAGGAATACATCATTCTTACCAGCATCTCTAAATATGTTCACTTTCACCAACCTGTCTGTTAATGTGGAATATACCGTTCGTCTACTTTCTGTCTCTGCCGACCAAACAAGATCAAAAGGCAGCAACGAGATTGTATTCACCACTGAAGGTAATCTTTTGTGCAAAAGTAAGAGAAATTGCCAGCGTGTAAAAATAAACTGTTGTGCAAGAGAAGTGCTAATGTGCATTGATATTATATAACTTCAGAGAAAATATGGAAATATGCATTTACCCTACTGTAAATCATATTATGTTTTTGTTTTTTATCCAGCTTTACCATTACCAAGAGATGTGGAAATTACTGATGTCAGTGATGAAGGTGCTTCCATATCGTGGGTAATTCCAGAAGAAGACGGAGATCTAATTGGCAGTGTCATTGTACATTACAAGTCAGATGGTTCCAATGAATGGCAGAATGTGACTGTGGCATCATCAGACAACTCAGTTGATTTGATTAATCTGAAAGCAAATACAACATATACAATACAGGTCGCAGTTACTAGTACTGATGGTCAACATTCAAAATCGACAACACCTACCAGTTTCACTACATTAGCAGGTAGGTGATCAATTGTAGAAACTCTTGCAATTAGCGAATACTGTTGCACCATGAATAGTTACACTAAACACTTTTTCAATGTAAATATAAGAACCAAAATACTGTTATAGTAAAATTACATTTGTTCTTGCAATTATGCATGGCATCATCGGAGGTGCACCATGCACCAGTGTTAACTTACATTTTTTATGTAAATGATTATCTTTAGATATTCTCATTTCATTTCTCTACTAGACCTCCTGCTCCCGTATAACATAAGTATCATCAGCATTGGAACAAGAGAGGCAACAGTTACATGGTTGCTTGATCTAAACTCTGATATATCAGGCTCAGTAGTGCAATATAAACCTACCAATAGTATGCAAGACTGGAGGAATACATCATTCTTACCAACATCTCTAAATATGTTCACTCTCACCAACCTGTCTGTTAATGCGGAATATACCGTTCGTCTACTTTCTGTCTCTGCCGACCAAACAAGATCAAAAGGCAGCAACGAGATTGTATTCACCACTGAAGGTAATCTTTTGTGCAAAAGTAGGAGAAATTGCCAGCGTGTAAAAATAAACTGTTGTGCAAGAGAAGTGCTAATGTGCATTGATATTATATAACTTCAGAGAAAATATGGAAATATGCATTTACCCTACTGTAAATCATATTATGTTTTTGTTTTTTTATCCAGCTTTACCATTACCAAGAGATGTGGAAATTACTGATGTCAGTGATGAAGGTGCTTCCATATCGTGGGTAATTCCAGAAGAAGACGGAGATCTAATTGGCAGTGTCATTGTACATTACAAGCCAGATGGTTCCAATGAATGGCAGAATGTGACTGTGGCATCATCAGACAACTCAGTTGATTTGATTAATCTGGAACCAAATACAACATATACAATACAGGTCGCAGTTACTAGTACTGATGGTCAACATTCAAAATCGACAACACCTACCAGTTTCACTACATTAGCAGGTAGGTGATCAATTGTAGAAACTCTTGCAATTAGCGAATACTGTTGCACCATGAATAGTTACACTGAACACTTTTTCAATGTAAATATAAGAACCAAAATACTGTTATAGTAAAATTACATTTGTTCTTGCAATTATGCATGGCATCATCAGAGATGCACCATGCACCACTGTTAACTTACATTTTTGATGTAAAAGATTATATTTAGATATTCTCATTTCATATCTCTACTAGATCTCCTGCTCCCGTATAACATAAGCATCATCAACATTGGAACAAGAGAGGCAACAGTTACATGGTTGCTTGATCTAAACTCTGATATATCAGGCTCAGTAGTGCAATATAAACCTACCAATAGTATGCAAGACTGGAGGAATACATCATTCTTACCAACATCTCTAAATATGTTCACTCTCACCAACCTGTCTGTTAATGTGGAATATACCGTTCGTCTACTTTCTGTCACTGCGGATCAAACAAGATCAAAAGACAGCAACGAGATTGTATTCACCACTGAAGGTAATCTTCTACCACAAAGTAGGGGAAATTGTCAGTGTGTGAAAGCAAAATGTTTTGCAACAGAAGTGTTAATCTGCATTGATATTATATAACTTCAGGGGAAATGTTTGAAATATGTATTTACCCTACTGTAAATCATATTATGTTTTTGTTTTTTTATCCAGCTTTACCATTACCAAGAGATGTGGAAATTACTGATGTCAGTGATGAAGGTGCTTCCATATCGTGGGTAATTCCAGAAGAAGACGGAGATCTAATTGGCAGTGTCATTGTACATTACAAGCCAGATGGTTCCAATGAATGGCAGAATGTGACTGTGGCATCATCAGACAACTCAGTTGATTTGATTAATCTGGAACCAAATACAACATATACAATACAGGTCGCAGTTACTAGTACTGATGGTCAACATTCAAAATCGACAACACCTACCAGTTTCACTACATTAGCAGGTAGGTGATCAATTGTAGAAACTCTTGCAATTAGCGAATACTGTTGCACCATGAATAGTTACACTGAACACTTTTTCAATGTAAATATAAGAACCAAAATACTGTTATAGTAAAATTACATTTGTTCTTGCAATTATGCATGGCATCATCAGAGATGCACCATGCACCACTGTTAACTTACATTTTTGATGTAAAAGATTATATTTAGATATTCTCATTTCATATCTCTACTAGATCTCCTGCTCCCGTATAACATAAGCATCATCAACATTGGAACAAGAGAGGCAACAGTTACATGGTTGCTTGATCTAAACTCTGATATATCAGGCTCAGTAGTGCAATATAAACCTACCAATAGTATGCAAGACTGGAGGAATACATCATTCTTACCAACATCTCTAAATATGTTCACTCTCACCAACCTGTCTGTTAATGTGGAATATACCGTTCGTCTACTTTCTGTCACTGCGGATCAAACAAGATCAAAAGACAGCAACGAGATTGTATTCACCACTGAAGGTAATCTTCTACCACAAAGTAGGGGAAATTGTCAGTGTGTGAAAGCAAAATGTTTTGCAACAGAAGTGTTAATCTGCATTGATATTATATAACTTCAGGGGAAATGTTTGAAATATGTATTTACCCTACTGTAAATCATACTATGTTTTTGTTTTTTATCCAGCTTTACCATTACCAAGAGATGTGGAAATTACTGATGTCAGTGATGAAGGTGCTTCCATATCGTGGGTAATTCCAGAAGAAGATGGAGATCTAATTGGCAGTGTCATTGTACATTACAAGCCAGATGGTTCCAATGAATGGCAGAATGTGACTGTGGCATCATCAGACAACTCAGTTGATTTGATTAATCTGAAAGCAAATACAACATATACAATACAGGTCGCAGTTACTAGTACTGATGGTCAACATTCAAAATCGACAACACCTACCAGTTTCACTACATTAGCAGGTAGGTGATCAATTGTAGAAACTCTTGCAATTAGCGAATACTGTTGCACCATGAATAGTTACACTGAACACTTTTTCAATGTAAATATAAGAACCAAAATACTGTTATAGTAAAATTACATTTGTTCTTGCAAGTATGCATGGCATCATCGGAGATGCACCATGCACCACTGTTAACTTACATTTTTGATGTAAAAGATTATATTTAGATATTCTCATTTCATATCTCTACTAGATCCCCTGCTCCCGTATAACATAAGTATCATCAGCATTGGAACAAGAGAGGCAACAGTTACATGGTTGCTTGATCTAAACTCTGATATATCAGGCTCAGTAGTGCAATATAAACCTACCAATAGTATGCAAGACTGGAGGAATACATCATTCTTACCAACATCTCTAAATATGTTCACTCTCACCAACCTGTCTGTTAATGTGGAATATACCGTTCGTCTACTTTCTGTCTCTGCCGACCGAACAAGATCAAAAGGCAGTAACGAGATTGTATTCACCACTGAAGGTAATCTTTTTTCCAAAAGTAGGAGAAATTGCCAGCGTGTAAAAATAAACTGTTGTGCAAGAGAAGTGTTAATCTGCATTGATATTATATAACTTCAGAGGAAATATGGAAATATGTATTTACACTACTGTAAATCATATTATGTTTTTGTTTTTTATCCAGCTTTACCATTACCAATAGATGTGGAAATTACTGATGTCAGTGATGAAGGTGCTTCCATATCGTGGGTAATTCCAGAAGAAGACGGAGATCTAATTGGCAGTGTCATTGTACATTACAAGCCAGATGGTTCCAATGAATGGCAGAATGTGACTGTGGCATCATCAGACAACTCAGTTGATTTGATTAATCTGGAACCAAATACAACATATACAATACAGGTCGCAGTTACTAGTACTGATGGTCAACATTCAAAATCGACAACACCTACCAGTTTCACTACATTAGCAGGTAGGTGATCAATTGTAGAAACTCTTGCAATTAGCGAATACTGTTGCACCATGAATAGTTACACTGAACACTTTTTCAATGTAAATATAAGAACCAAAATACTGTTATAGTAAAATTACATTTGTTCTTGCAAGTATGCATGGCATCATCGGAGATGCACCATGCACCACTGTTAACTTACATTTTTGATGTAAAAGATTATATTTAGATATTCTCATTTCATATCTCTACTAGATCCCCTGCTCCCGTATAACATAAGTATCATCAGCATTGGAACAAGAGAGGCAACAGTTACATGGTTGCTTGATCTAAACTCTGATATATCAGGCTCAGTAGTGCAATATAAACCTACCAATAGTATGCAAGACTGGAGGAATACACCATTCTTACCAACATCTCTAAATATGTTCACTCTCACCAACCTGTCTGTTAATGTGGAATATACCATTCGTCTACTTTCTGTCACTGCGGATCAAACAAGATCAAAAGGCAGCAACGAGATTGTATTCACCACTGAAGGTAATCTTCTACCACAAAGTAGGGGAAATTGTCAGTGTGTGAAAGCAAAATGTTTTGCAACAGAAGTGTTAATCTGCATTGATATTATATAACTTCAGGGGAAATGTTTGAAATATGTATTTACCCTACTGTAAATCATATTATGTTTTTGTTTTTTATCCAGCTTTACCATTACCAAGAGATGTGGAAATTACTGATGTCAGTGATGAAGGTGCTTCCATATCGTGGGTAATTCCAGAAGAAGATGGAGATCTAATTGGCAGTGTCATTGTACATTACAAGCCAGATGGTTCCAATGAATGGCAGAATGTGACTGTGGCATCATCAGTCAACTCAGTTGATTTGATTAATCTGAAACCAAATACAACATATACAATACAGGTCGCAGTTACTAGTACTGATGGTCAACATTCAAAATCGACAACACCTACCAGTTTCACTACATTAGCAGGTAGGTGATCAATTGTAGAAACTCTTGCAATTAGCGAATACTGTTGCATCATGAATAGTTACACTGAACACTTTTTCAATGTTGATATAAGAACCAAAATATTGTTATAGTAAAATTACATTTGTTCTTGCAATAATGCATGGCATCATCGGAGATGCACCATGCACCACTGTTAACTTACATTTTTGATGTAAAAGATTATATTTAGATATTCTCATTTCATATCTCTACTAGATCTCCTGCTCCCGTATAACATAAGCATCATCAACATTGGAACAAGAGAGGCAACAGTTACATGGTTGCTTGATCTAAACTCTGATATATCAGGCTCAGTAGTGCAATATAAACCTACCAATAGTATGCAAGACTGGAGGAATACATCATTCTTACCAACATCTCTAAATATGTTCACTTTCACCAACCTGTCTGTTAATGTGGAATATACCGTTCATCTACTTTCTGTCTCTGCCGACCGAACAAGATCAAAAGGCAGTAACGAGATTGTATTCACCACTGAAGGTAATCTTTTTTCCAAAAGTAGGAGAAATTGCCAGCGTGTAAAAATAAACTGTTGTGCAAGAGAAGTGTTAATCTGCATTGATATTATATAACTTCAGAGGAAATATGGAAATATGTATTTACCCTACTGTAAATCATATTATGTTTTTGTTTTTTATCCAGCTTTACCATTACCAATAGATGTGGAAATTACTGATGTCAGTGATGAAGGTGCTTCCATATCGTGGGTAATTCCAGAAGAAGACGGATATCTAATTGGCAGTGTCATTGTACATTACAAGCCAGATGGTTCCAATGAATGGCAGAATGTGACTGTGGCATCATCAGACAACTCAGTTGATTTGATTAATCTGGAACCAAATACAACATATACAATACAGGTCGCAGTTACTAGTACTGATGGTCAACATTCAAAATCGACAACACCTACCAGTTTCACTACATTAGCAGGTAGGTGATCAATTGTAGAAACTCTTGCAATTAGCGAATACTGTTGCACCATGAATAGTTACACTGAACACTTTTTCAATGTAAATATAAGAACCAAAATACTGTTATAGTAAAATTACATTTGTTATTGCAAGTATGCATGGCATCATCGGAGATGCACCATGCACCACTGTTAACTTACATTTTTGATTTAAAAGATTATATTTAGATATTCTCATTTCATATCTCTACTAGATCTCCTGCTCCCGTATAACATAAGTATCATCAGCATTGGAACAAGAGAGGCAACAGTTACATGGTTGCTTGATCTAAACACTGATATATCAGGCTCAGTAGTGCAATATAAACCTACCAATAGTATGCAAGACTGGAGGAATACATCATTCTTACCAACATCTCTAAATATGTTCACTCTCACCAACCTGTCTGTTAATGTGGAATATACCGTTCGTCTACTTTCTGTCACTGCGGATCAAACAAGATCAAAAGGCAGCAACGAGATTGTATTCACCACTGAAGGTAATCTTCTACCACAAAGTAGGGGAAATTGTCAGTGTGTGAAAGCAAAATGTTTTGCAACAGAAGTGTTAATCTGCATTGATATTATATAACTTCAGGGGAAATGTTTGAAATATGTATTTACCCTACTGTAAATCATATTATGTTTTTGTTTTTCATCCAGCTTTACCATTACCAAGAGATGTGGAAATTACTGATGTCAGTGATGAAGGTGCTTTCATATCGTGGGTAATTCCAGAAGAAGATGGAGATCTAATTGGCAGTGTCATTGTACATTACAAGCCAGATGGTTCCAATGAATGGCAGAATGTGACTGTGGCATCATCAGTCAACTCAATTGATTTGATTAATCTGAAACCAAATACAACATATACAATACAGGTCGCAGTTACTAGTACTGATGGTCAACATTCAAAATCGACAACACCTACCAGTTTCACTACATTAGCAGGTAGGTGATCAATTGTAGAAACTCTTGCAATTAGCGAATACTGTTGCATCATGAATAGTTACACTGAACACTTTTTCAATGTTGATATAAGAACCAAAATATTGTTATAGTAAAATTACATTTGTTCTTGCAATTATGCATGGCATCATCGGAGATGCACCATGCACCACTGTTAACTTACATTTTTGATGTAAAAGATTATATTTAGATATTCTCATTTCATATCTCTACTAGATCTCCTGCTCCCGTATAACATAAGCATCATCAACATTGGAACAAGAGAGGCAACAGTTACATGGTTGCTTGATCTAAACTCTGATATATCAGGCTCAGTAGTGCAATATAAACCTACCAATAGTATGCAAGACTGGAGGAATACATCATTCTTACCAACATCTCTAAATATGTTCACTTTCACCAACCTGTCTGTTAATGTGGAATATACCGTTCGTCTACTTTCTGTCTCTGCCGACCGAACAAGATCAAAAGGCAGTAACGAGATTGTATTCACCACTGAAGGTAATCTTTTTTCCAAAAGTAGGAGAAATTGCCAGCGTGTAAAAATAAACTGTTGTGCAAGAGAAGTGTTAATCTGCATTGATATTATATAACTTCAGAGGAAATATGGAAATATGTATTTACCCTACTGTAAATCATATTATGTTTTTGTTTTTTATCCAGCTTTACCATTACCAATAGATGTGGAAATTACTGATGTCAGTGATGAAGGTGCTTCCATATCGTGGGTAATTCCAGAAGAAGACGGAGATCTAATTGGCAGTGTCATTGTACATTACAAGCTAGATGGTTCCAATGAATGGCAGAATGTGACTGTGGCATCATCAGACAACTCAGTTGATTTGATTAATCTGGAACCAAATACAACATATACAATACAGGTCGCAGTTACTAGTACTGATGGTCAACATTCAAAATCGACAACACCTACCAGTTTCACTACATTAGCAGGTAGGTGATCAATTGTAGAAACTCTTGCAATTAGCGAATACTGTTGCATCATGAATAGTTACACTGAACACTTTTTCAATGTTGATATAAGAACCAAAATATTGTTATAGTAAAATTACATTTGTTCTTGCAATTATGCATGGCATCTTCGGAGATGCACCATGCACCACTGTTAACTTACATTTTTGATGTAAAAGATTATATTTAGATATTCTCATTTCATTTCTCTACTAGATCTCCTGCTCCCGTATAACATAAGCATCATCAACATTGGAACAAGAGAGGCAACAGTTACATGGTTGCTTGATCTAAACTCTGATATATCAGGCTCAGTAGTGCAATATAAACCTACCAATAGTATGCAAGACTGGAGGAATACATCATTCTTACCAACATCTCTAAATATGTTCACTCTCACCAACCTGTCTGTTAATGTGGAATATACCGTTCGTCTACTTTCTGTCACTGTGGATCAAACAAGATCAAAAGGCAGCAACGAGATTGTATTCACCACTGAAGGTAATCTTCTACCACAAAGTAGGGGAAATTGTCAGTGTGTGAAAGCAAAATGTTTTGCAACAGAAGTGTTAATCTGCATTGATATTATATAACTTCAGAGAAAATATGGAAATATGTATTTACCTTACTGTAAATCATATTATGTTTTTGTTTTTTATCCAGCTTTACCATTACCAAGAGATGTGGAAATTACTGATGTCAGTGATGAAGGTGCTTCCATATCGTGGGTAATTCCAGAAGAAGATGGAGATCTAATTGGCAGTGTCATTGTACATTACATGCCAGATGGTTCCAATGAATGGCAGAATGTGACTGTGGCATCATCAGACAACTCAGTTGATTTGATTAATCTGAATCCAAATACAACATATACAATACAGGTCGCAGTTACTAGTACTGATGGTCAACATTCAAAATCGACAACACCTACCAGTTTCACTACATTAGCAGGTAGGTGATCAATTGTAGAAACTCTTGCAATTAGCGAATACTGTTGCACCATGAATAGTTACACTAAACACTTTTTCAATGTAAATATAAGAACCAAAATACTGTTATAGTAAAATTACATTTGTTCTTGCAATTATGCATGGCATCATCGGAGATGCACCATGCACCAGTGTTAACTTACATTTTTTATGTAAATGATTATCTTTAGATATTCTCATTTCATTTCTCTACTAGACCTCCTGCTCCCGTATAACATAAGTATCATCAGCATTGGAACAAGAGAGGCAACAGTTACATGGTTGCTTGATCTAAACACTGATATATCAGGCTCAGTAGTGCAATATAAACCTACCAATAGTATGCAAGACTGGAGGAATACATCATTCTTACCAACATCTCTAAATATGTTCACTCTCACCAACCTGTCTGTTAATGTGGAATATACCGTTCGTCTACTTTCTGTCTCTGCCGACCGAACAAGATCAAAAGGCAGTAACGAGATTGTATTCACCACTGAAGGTAATCTTTTTTCCAAAAGTAGGAGAAATTGCCAGCGTGTAAAAATAAACTGTTGTGCAAGAGAAGTGTTAATCTGCATTGATATTATATAACTTCAGAGGAAATATGGAAATATGTATTTACCCTACTGTAAATCATATTATGTTTTTGTTTTTTATCCAGCTTTACCATTACCAATAGATGTGGAAATTACTGATGTCAGTGATGAAGGTGCTTCCATATCGTGGGTAATTCCAGAAGAAGACGGAGATCTAATTGGCAGTGTCATTGTACATTACAAGCCAGATGGTTCCAATGAATGGCAGAATGTGACTGTGGCATCATCAGACAACTCAGTTGATTTGATTAATCTGGAACCAAATACAACATATACAATACAGGTCGCAGTTACTAGTACTGATGGTCAACATTCAAAATCGACAACACCTACCAGTTTCACTACATTAGCAGGTAGGTGATCAATTGTAGAAACTCTTGCAATTAGCGAATACTGTTGCACCATGAATAGTTACACTAAACACTTTTTCAATGTAAATATAAGAACCAAAATACTGTTATAGTAAAATTACATTTGTTCTTGCAATTATGCATGGCATCATCGGAGATGCACCATGCACCAGTGTTAACTTACATTTTTTATGTAAATGATTATCTTTAGATATTCTCATTTCATTTCTCTACTAGACCTCCTGCTCCCGTATAACATAAGCATCATCAACATTGGAACAAGAGAAGCAACAGTTACATGGTTGCTTGATCTAAACTCTGATATATCAGGCTCAGTAGTGCAATATAAACCTACCAATAGTATGCAAGACTGGAGGAATACATCATTCTTACCAACATCTCTAAATATGTTCACTTTCACCAACCTGTCTGTTAATGTGGAATATACCGTTCGTCTACTTTCTGTCTCTGCCGACCGAACAAGATCAAAAGGCAGTAACGAGATTGTATTCACCACTGAAGGTAATCTTTTTTCCAAAAGTAGGAGAAATTGCCAGCGTGTAAAAATAAACTGTTGTGCAAGAGAAGTGTTAATCTGCATTGATATTATATAACTTCAGAGGAAATATGGAAATATGTATTTACCCTACTGTAAATCATATTATGTTTTTGTTTTTTATCCAGCTTTACCATTACCAATAGATGTGGAAATTACTGATGTCAGTGATGAAGGTGCTTCCATATCGTGGGTAATTCCAGAAGAAGACGGAGATCTAATTGGCAGTGTCATTGTACATTACAAGCCAGATGGTTCTAATGAATGGCAGAATGTGACTGTGGCATCATCAGACAACTCAGTTGATTTGATTAATCTGGAACCAAATACAACATATACAATACAGGTCGCAGTTACTAGTACTGATGGTCAACATTCAAAATCGACAACACCTACCAGCTTCACTACATTAGCAGGTAGGTGATCAATTGTAGAAACTCTTGCAATTAGCGAATACTGTTGCACCATGAATAGTTACACTGAACATTTTTTCAATGTAAATATAAGAACCAAAATACTGTTATAGTAAAATTACATTTGTTCTTGCAAGTATGCATGGCATCATCGGAGATGCACCATGCACCACTGTTAACTTACATTTTTGATGTAAAAGATTATATTTAGATATTCTCATTTCATATCTCTACTAGATCTCCTGCTCCCGTATAACATAAGTATCATCAGCATTGGAACAAGAGAGGCAACAGTTACATGGTTGCTTGATCTAAACTCTGATATATCAGGCTCAGTAGTGCAATATAAACCTACCAATAGTATGCAAGACTGGAGGAATACATCATTCTTACCAACATCTCTAAATATGTTCACTCTCACCAACCTGTCTGTTAATGTGGAATATACCGTTCGTCTACTTTCTGTCACTGCGGATCAAACAAGATCAAAAGGCAGCAACGAGATTGTATTTACCACTGAAGGTAATCTTCTACCACAAAGTAGGGGAAATTGTCAGTGTGTGAAAGCAAAATGTTTTGCAACAGAAGTGTTAATCTGCATTGATATTATATAACTTCAGGGGAAATGTTTGAAATATGTATTTACCCTACTGTAAATCATATTATGTTTTTGTTTTTTATCCAGCTTTACCATTACCAAGAGATGTGGAAATTACTGATGTCAGTGATGAAGGTGCTTCCATATCGTGGGTAATTCCAGAAGAAGATGGAGATCTAATTGGCAGTGTCATTGTACATTACAAGCCAGATGGTTCCAATGAATGGCAGAATGTGACTGTGGCATCATCAGACAACTCAGTTGATTTGATTAATCTGAAACCAAATACAACATATACAATACAGGTCGCAGTTACTAGTACTGATGGTCAACATTCAAAATCGACAACACCTACCAGTTTCACTACATTAGCAGGTAGGTGATCAATTGTAGAAACTCTTGCAATTAGCGAATACTGTTGCACCATGAATAGTTACACTAAACACTTTTTCAATGTAAATATAAGAACCAAAATACTGTTATAGTAAAATTACATTTGTTCTTGCAATTATGCATGGCATCATCGGAGATGCACCATGCACCAGTGTTAACTTACATTTTTTATGTAAATGATTATCTTTAGATATTCTCATTTCATTTCTCTACTAGACCTCCTGCTCCCGTATAACATAAGCATCATCAACATTGGAACAAGAGAAGCAACAGTTACATGGTTGCTTGATCTAAACTCTGATATATCAGGCTCAGTAGTGCAATATAAACCTACCAATAGTATGCAAGACTGGAGGAATACATCATTCTTACCAACATCTCTAAATATGTTCACTTTCACCAACCTGTCTGTTAATGTGGAATATACCGTTCGTCTACTTTCTGTCTCTGCCGACCGAACAAGATCAAAAGGCAGTAACGAGATTGTATTCACCACTGAAGGTAATCTTTTTTCCAAAAGTAGGAGAAATTGCCAGCGTGTAAAAATAAACTGTTGTGCAAGAGAAGTGTTAATATAACTTCAGAGGAAATATGGAAATATGTATTTACCCTACTGTAAATCATATTATGTTTTTGTTTTTTATCCAGCTTTACCATTACCAATAGATGTGGAAATTACTGATGTCAGTGATGAAGGTGCTTCCATATCGTGGGTAATTCCAGAAGAAGACGGAGATCTAATTGGCAGTGTCATTGTACATTACAAGCCAGATGGTTCTAATGAATGGCAGAATGTGACTGTGGCATCATCAGACAACTCAGTTGATTTGATTAATCTGGAACCAAATACAACATATACAATACAGGTCGCAGTTACTAGTACTGATGGTCAACATTCAAAATCGACAACACCTACCAGCTTCACTACATTAGCAGGTAGGTGATCAATTGTAGAAACTCTTGCAATTAGCGAATACTGTTGCACCATGAATAGTTACACTGAACATTTTTTCAATGTAAATATAAGAACCAAAATACTGTTATAGTAAAATTACATTTGTTCTTGCAAGTATGCATGGCATCATCGGTGA